CTGCCTGATTGCCTGAGCTGAGATATTAGTCTTATGCTGCTCTTGGTCCTCTGGTTCTCAGGTCTTCAGACTTGGACTGAATGACACCACTGGCCTTCCTGGGTTTCCAGCTTGCAGACAGCAGACTGTGGGACTTCTCAGCCTCCATATTGTGTGAGCCAATTCTTTATAATAAATCTATTTCCACATATATATATCCTATTGGTTCTATTTTTGTAGAGAAACCTGACTAATACAAAGGGCATGGAGTTTTTTTTTGGAGTGATGAAAATGTTGTGAAATTGATCATGGTGATGACTGTATGACTCTGCATATACTGAAGGTCACTGAATTGTATACTTTAAAAGGGTGAATTTTTATGGCATGTGAATTATATCTCAGTAAAGCTGTTATTTTTAAAAAGTGGCTAAGTAGGGGTGAGTAATCTGAAGTTAGGAAAACTGGTTAAGAGACTGTTGCCTATTACCATACACAAAATTGAATACCTCCCATTTTCAGTTGTATTGGTAAACCAGCTCTCCTGGCAAAAAAAAAAAAACCAAAAGCCAACATAACTTATTTGCAATATTTGCCAATTTCTGTGGTATAAATATTCCCACTATGAGTGACTTCAAGCTACCAAAGCGAAGTCAGTGAACACTGAGTTGGGAAGACGTGAGCATAATCAGCTCGTGCAAACTTTAAGAGGTGACTCCAGCTCACCCTGATTCCACTTCTCCCATTTCCCATTGTGTAGCCACCACACAATTTAGGTAGATTGCCCCTCCCCCAGCTCTAGGGGCGAATCTAACTGACCTAAGACAATCAGGATAATCTCACTCTACTCTCAGTGACGGTGATTGGTTCAGTGTTGGGCATGTGGCGTGAGTTTGTCCAAACAGAGTTAAGCCCAAGATTTTTGTTCAATGATTTAGGGGAAAGAAACACTTTTTCCACTATTGGACATAAATGAGGGAGCATCTATCTCAGGTTGCTATTGGCAGCCCTCCTATGACCAGTCTAGCATGAAACCAACATCATAAAAGGCAGATTTGAGAGTCAGTAAGAAGTATGACGACATTGCTGCATCAATCCTTCCTGAAGCCTGACTTTTCAAAAATGTGAGCCAATAAATCACTTTTATTGTCTGACCTGGCTTGAGATGGGTTTTGTACAACCTACTAGAAGCATCCTAAGCAACGTATACCTGAATAATCTGCAATATTGAAACACTGAGGTACTGAGAGTCAGAAGAGAAATGAGTCAAAACCAAGGGAGCAGGGAAAACATAAATAGTAGGAGTAAAGGCAAACAGTAAATTTACGACTAAGCATATAATCAGGAATCAGCAGGATGCAAATATAGAATAGGTGAACAAAGCAGGTTTTCAAAACTAAGAACAAACTATTAGGAACCTGGAGGATATAATCATTATAAGAAAGCAGAGCAAGTACGTTTTTCAAAGTTTAATACAAGAGGCACAAAGTAGAATAGAAGAAAGCAGCTGCACCAGACACCTTACAGGACCTTGATATCGACTGCGGCTCAGACCCAAGGCCAAACTGAGATGGTGGGAGGCTTGGACTAGCAAGTAATTTGGTGTACCACTCAAATGAAGTATACAGGTGGTAATCATTTCAAAATTATTAGTAGTTTTCCCCCTTCACTGTGTGTAGTTACCCATTTGCCTAAGGGGAGATCAAAATTTGTTTCAGAAAAAATGGCAAGCCAACAGTAAAGTGCTATCACCTTCTAACATGCAAAATATGATTTTTTTTAGCAAGACTCAGATTATAGAGTTCTCCAAATGTCTAGAAAAAATATCCTTTGCCATTAAGGCTTAACTAAGAGTTGGAATGGATATGAAACCGGCTTAACACAAGGTCGACATAAGGGAAGCCATATTGTAAAAAAAGAGACCATGTTGTAACTTTGAATGACCTCTGACTGACTAACCCAGCTGGATGTGCACCCTCCAGGAGATCTACCTGTTCATAGATTTTATGACCCCTGCTAGTGCATATATCTCCCCGCTGCAATAAGACCGATAACTTCATTCTTTTGAGTTCCTTAGGAATGTGATGACCCCCCAAACAGAGAGTCTATGCTGATAGCCATCATCAGTGAATACTGAAAGATTTAGTGTGGCAACTCCCAGTCTGTAACACCAGAGGGTCAACATTCCTAATCCCCTCCCCTATAACCCACTGGCCTATATAACTGCTTCAAGTTTCTGTGCCCCCCTTAAGATGGTTCTTTTGGACATTAGTCAGCCATCTTCCCTCTTGCTAGCAAGCTATAATAAAACATCTCTTCTCTGCCACCATCTTGCCTCTTGACGATTGCCTTTTGTCTTGCTGAGAGCAGATCATGCCCTTTGTGTGGTAACAGGAAGACAGAGAAGAGTCTGTCTGGGGAATTGTAGGAAGGAGAAAATAAGCAAAAAGGAGAAAGTAGGATAGCAGAAAGAGCCCATGTATTTCCCAATTTTCCCATCCTTAGACTTTAATCAGGCAGAGTCCCTTTGACCTAGACAGAGAGCAGTGCACGAGATACATAAGAATAATGGCAGAAAGGAATAGAGAGTCTCCTGGCCCCCACCCCTCATGAGAATTCTTTAAACAGAGCACTTCTCAGGCTGCTCTTTCATTTGCCTGCAGCATGGCCCTACCCAAGCAGGTGGAGAAACAGGGTCAGGCAGCAGGAGGCCTGAGAATCATCAATCCTGAGCCACTTTTGGTATCCTGTGGCAAGACAAGATCCTGGAGCTGGCCCCGTGGCCAACTGGTTAAGTTCACTCACTCTGCTTCGGCAGCCCAGGGTTTCACTGGTTCGGATCCTGGGCGTGACCTGGCACAGCTCATCAAGCCATGGTGAGGCAGTGTCCCACATGCCACAACTAGAAGGACCCACAACTAAAATATACAACTGTGTACTAGGGGACTTTGAAGAAGGAAAAGTAAATAAATAAATAAAATCTTAAAAAAAAAAAAAAAAAGACAAGATCCTGAAGTAGCTGCAAATCTACAGAGGGGACTACTAACAGGGGCTGCAGAGCAGAACACTGGAACTTGGACTGAATGGGAGTCACAGAAGGTTTCTGTGGGATCTACAGTATCTATGGGAGTGGAAATGAGGCTGAGTCATTCCAAACATGCCATCTGGGCTCCAACCAAGCCCAGAAAGAGAGAAACAAAAAAAGACTGAAGGTTACAATGTCTACAGACTTTAGCTACTGATGCTGGCAAGGAAAAGGGCAACCAGACGGACTAGGGATACCACCCCGGAGACCAGAACAGGCAGAGAACACCGTACAAAAAACCTCACTCTTGTCCTCTGGCGTCAGGATGCTAAATCACATCCCTCTCTCCATATACCTGGATGCCATCTTAGGGAGAATTGCAGTTACTACTGCTGTATAACAAGCCAACCCATTGATAGGGGCGTAAAACAATAGCCATTTCCAGATTCTTTGGGTCAGGAACCTGGAAAGGGTACAGCAAAGACAGCATCTCTCTGCTCCATAGTGTCTGGGGTCTCATCTGGGAAGACTTGAAAGCTGGAAGTGACTTATGGGCTGTGGCTGGAAACCTCTCTCATTCTAAATGGTAGTTATTCTGGCTATCTGCTCAGACCTCAGCTGGCATTGTTGACTGGAACAACTGCACAGGTCTTCTCCATATGGTTGCTTGGGCTTCCTCATGCATAGTAACTGGATTCTAAGAATGAGGATGGCACAAAGAGAACCAGGAAGTAGTTGAATTGCTACCCTCAGAAGCCACATAGCATCATTTCCACCATCGCCACAGTTCACCCAGATTCTAGAGGTGGTAACACGGACTCTGCCTCTCAATGGAAAGAGTGTCAAAATCACTCTGTAGGAGCATGTGGGATGGCAGCACATGTTGCTGCCATTTTGAGAAAATAACAATCTCCCACAGGGAGAAAAGTAGTTGTATCGGGGTTCCCAACACCACTTCTAGGTTCGATGATTTGCTAGGAGGACTCACAGGACCCAACATATACTCGTATTTGAGGCTATGATTTAGTCAAGCAAATGGCTACAAAGCGAGATCAGCAAAGGGAAAGGGCACATGGGCTGAAGTCCAGAGGAAACCAAGTGCAAACTTCCAAGAGTCTTCTCCCAGTGAGTCACACAGGATGCGCTTAATCCCCCAGCAACGAGTTGTAAAATGCTGGGGAAGCTCTCTAAAGACTCAGTAGCCAAGGTTTTCTTGGGGGCTGGTCATGTAGGCAGTCTCTGCTTCGCACATACCAAAATTCCAGACTCCCAGAAGAAAAGCAGGTATTCAGCATAAACCACGTTGTTTGCACAGTTTAGGCACAGAGAACCATTCTTATTAAGGAATTTTTATCCCGAAAGCCAAGTTTCTAGATGCCAACTAGGGCCAACCTTGCAAGCAGGCTTTTTAACGATTAGCAGTCTCAGTTCTGCTATGTTAGCTCTTTTCTGCAAATGGGATGGGAGAAGATCTCTGAGAATGTGAATTTTTTTTAAAGGAAATTAAACACTGCCTATAGGAACTATTTAAATTATGGAATCAGACTAAGCTTTAAATGGATTGAAGAGTTAGTGTCTTCCCGCTGGTGGCAGGTTCGGGAAGAAGGTCAGTTATTAGTTAGACACATTTCCTCTGCATATGTGAGGTGCAGTCAGTTGCTATATTTTCAACACCCTAACGTAATATTTAAATGTTTGTTCAACATCTATTTAGTGGGGGTGGGAAGAAGCGTTTAGAAATTGTGTATAGAAACAGATTTCGTGAATTACCACATGCTGCTGTTGGCTGGCCCACTATTCTGTGCTACACAGATCCTGAGTTCTGACAAGTTCCCTTAACATAGGACAGCCACTGCAGGCTTCTTCTGAGCCCTTCAGGGAGATGAGGGCAACTGGAAGGATATATCTGAGGTGTGGAACGAGTGGGCATCAGCACACAATGGCTTATGTAGAGCCGGACTGGAAGAGACATTTCACAGGAAGAACTTCAAGGACTTACCTGGCTAACTGGGGCTAAAGAACCAAGATGATCCACGGCTTCAAACCTGGATGGCTGGGAGAGTTTTAACACCACTAAAAAGAATAAGAAAGACATGGAGATGGGGAAGGACTTGTTTTAGGAAGGAAATGATGAGTCCATTTTAGATACTTTTAATCTTAGATGACAGTATAAAATCTTTATTTGGAAGGTGGTGCTGTGGGACAGATGGCTGGGACAGAGGTCAATGCCCTATGCACAGTAGTGACCATCGGCTGGGGAAAATATCTATAAAGAACATTATTGAGATCATGGATGATATTTGCATATGGACTGTGGATTACATAATTATACTGTACCAATTTTCCTAAGGTTAAAAACTTTACCATAGCTAAGTGTCCTTGTGCTTAGGAAATACACATTGAACTATTTACTGGTAAAGGGCACAATGTCTCCGGCCAACTCTCAAATGGTAAACAACTGGTAACTCTGGGTAAAGATTATATGGGAGCTCCTTGTGCTACTCTTGGAACTTTCCCACAAGTTTGAAATTACATAAAATAAGTTACCCCAAAAAAGTGATGGTTGGGGAGCCATGGAGTGGATGAATTCTCTGAGATTGTATAAAATGAGAAGAACATTGTTCTGGGATCCAAATCTTATTAGAGACACCCATGGTTGGGTCCATAAAGAAGCCAGGAAGGACAGAGAAGAAGAGAGTGTTGCAACGTCATAGATTCTGAAGGGAGAGGGAGGTGGAAGAATGCAGTTGTAGCCAACAATTTCTCACTTTCAAAGAAGCATCTGGAGCACAAGATCTGACAAAATACAACCAACGGTAAGAATCAATCCCAGCATCTTTGAGTGTGCTTTTTCAGGGTAGTGTTGAGAAAGCAGAATGAAACATCCTGATAAAAGATGGAAAAGAAAGAGTGTGAGAGAAAGGAACACTGAGGGCAGACGGGCCCTGTGGAAACAGGCAACACTAGAGATGGAGCAAGAGAATCACCACGTGGAAAACCTGCTTTAAGGTTAAGAAAACTTCTTCCTTCCTTTTCTTCTCTTTCTCTTCCTTCTTCTTTTTAACAGATCGTGGAAAGACAGGTTAGTATGTTACAGGAGGGTCCTCTTGATGAGTGGGTCCCCCAGTTGACCTTCCCTCATTATGAAGGACAAACAATATGGTTTTATCTCTTATGTCAGTAAGATGTATCACTGTATCTTTAAGTGATGGGTATCTTACTCTTAGATCCCCATCCGCTCCCCACCCCACCCCCTTTGCCCCCTGGGTGCTATATTCTTACTCTAAGCACCGTTATCTCCCAAAGCCTTTTCCAGAATAAAATGACATTGATGTTCTTAGGCAACCTTATACCCAGTCCTCACGTACTTTTTCCCAATCTTCCAAGGTACTGTTCCGTGGTTACACTTACTCTTATTTGATTTCATCCTTTTTCTTTAGGACAGTTTATTTTTGATAGCTTTATTTTTCAAGGTTATTTTCAGTTTTAGGCCTGCCTTATGGAACATCAGTAACTCTGCCTAATTTAATATTATAAGATAATTTGAAAGCATAGCCTCAACTCCTTCATCCAGATCATCCATAAAAATGCATAAGGGGCAATGTTTCCTGGCCAAATCAGTCACTGCAAACTAACCTTGTGTCCACCATTAGAGAAAGCTATTAGCCACCTGGCATTCATACAGCAAAGACTGTTCTTCCCTAGCATGCCTGTAAGTGTGCTCATTTGGGGTACTGCATTTACTCTTAAACAGGTATTTGAGGTGACAGGCTTATTTATGTGAATGTCACATTGGATGGAATGAAAGTAGATATAAAAGTAGAGAGCTGTAGTATTTTGTTTCATTATTTTCATTACATATCATATACAAAATTCTTTAGCACTTATATGCACTTGACTGAAGACCTGCCTTCCCCTAATAAGGCTGTGTTCTAAGCACACATGCACAGTGATGTGGGAGGAAAAGAACAATTCCTCTACAGCCAAATCTACTTCATGAACCCTGGGGATCACGGGACATAGGCATCTCAGACAGATCCCTTCATTCATTTCCTTCACTACTTTTAAAATGATTTCATTTCTACTGGATATTTTTTCTCCCAATGACTGCATTACAGACATAGAGTAATTGGCAATGTAGCTATAATGAACATGTAACTAGTTGGATATATTTTTGTTACAAATTCAAGAAACATTTACTACCCCTTTTTATTTAATAAAATTTACAAAGGAAAGCATTTGTAACAAATACAGGTAATTTAACTAAAAGAAAATAGTCATGGTAAGTGCCAGGAAGTTTGGGCTATTGATATAAAACTAAATATTTGTATCATTAGTGAATCCGGTCATCATGAAGAAAAATATGGAGCTCTATATGAACGATCACTTCATCAAAAAAGCTGACTTTTAAAGATTAACATCATATAAACTTAGGAATGGCCAGCATCAAAAGCTAAGCAATCCACTATTAAACCTTAGCTATTGACACATTTTTCTTTCTCATGCACCAATTTTGATTGGTAGTATCATTTTAATCATATGAAACACAAATATTATTTTTCTTACTCCTCAGTCTACATTACGTGAGGATACCTGTTTTTATATTTATAATGGTGTAGTTAGGTATAAATCTGAGGCCCAGGGTTCTCTATTTTTAAATTTTTTGTTTTTTCTTCTTTACAAAGTCAAATATGTTCACTATAGAAACTAACGATAATCAAAAAGAAGAAAATAAAATCTCCCACAATCTCAAGTTCCTGAAGTAGAACTGAGCTTTTATGACTTGACATAGAAACAAAACAGAGATCATGGACAATTAACCTCAAAGGTAAAGGTATAGTTTAAGAGGAAACTGGTGTCTTTCCACTAAAAGGACACAACACTAAAACATACTTAAGAATCTGAGTTCCTGAGAATTCAGACCCACAGTTTGTCAACTGTTGGTGACATACGAGATAAGCAGGAGTTAAAATATTTATCTCCTAGTTTTCAAGTAGAGTTGAATTGAATGTCTGCCAATGTCCTTAATCAAAAAGATTACTTAGTCATGAACAACTATTAGGATGGGACAGGATCAATGCAAGAGAAACAAATCAAATAGTAGAATTTGAGAGCCAAAGAGTTAATAAAGTTATTCTGTCTTTATCAGTCAGCATCCCCCAAAGAAAAAGAACCAACAGGAGATGGATATATATGATAGATAGGAAGGATAGCTATCATCTATCATATCTATCCCTATTTGTTCTATTTCTGTATATATCTCTCTCCATATATAAAGATGTGTATATACATAGAGAGAGAGAAGGAGAGAGATCTTTCCTTCCTTCCGTCCTTCTACTCACCCATCAGCAACTATATAGTTCCCCCAAAAAGACAAATCCTATTGTATCCCAATCAGCTAGGGAAGCTGTGGAAGCCTATGGAGCTATAGGAGCAACTGCCAGGAGATCCTAAGATTGAAACTGGGCCTAGAAAATGTGGTCCCTTAGTGCTGGCAGAATGCCATGAGACTCAGGACAAGAAGTGTCTGCCTGTAAGCTATAAAATCACGCCTACATCTATACATACAAGGTCAGCACACATGTGTATGACACACACTGAGATCTTTCAGGTATGGTTTTAGGGTCAGGAAGGCCACCTTCTACTTCTGAACCAAGTAAGAGAGGGCTGTTTCCATGGTTAACTAATGCTGGTTAGCAGCATTTTGGAACACCTTGACATTGATCAAAAAATACTAGGTACAATCACATGACCCCTTCCCTCTTCTCCAATTCCACCCCCAACAACTACCTCATTTGCAGAAGAATCTAAAACTCTCTCTCATTTCATGTTAGTCAATAGCACATAATAAACTAAACAAACATTTATCAAATGGCCATTATTCTTTTGTTAGTAGATATTGAGTCAGAACATTAAAAGGACAAAAAGGAGAAAATTAAATAGTAGATATAATAAGATGCAGTACAAAGACAAGTAGCACAAAAATAAAAGTCATAAAGACACATCACGGAGTCTGGAACATTACCTAGTTAAATTTCAGCCTTAATTTTCTGGAAAAAAGTTTGGCAAAACCACACTTTATTCTAGACTACAAGGTTTATACACGATAATTTCATGTGGCCAGATTTACATTGCACAACTTTTCATGCTAATATATTTTCAAAAGAGAACCCCCACACACAAAAAAAGAACAAGAGAAAAATAAAAGGACTGTCTGTGGTGGAATGGAATTATGGAAGATCAGGTGGACACAGAATGGAGCAAAGATACAAGGAAAGGGACTTCAAAAGAAGTGGGGATGAAAGCTAATGTAGTTCAGACACGTGATGGTTCCTACAAAGCCCTCGGTCTGTTCTCGATTCACTTTCTGTCCCAGCTCTTAGTGCTTTTCAGCAAGCCATTCTTTCCCTTATTTTCTTTTCAAGGCCCCTGGTAGGCATCCCATCCTAGGAAGCAGAAAACTAAAGGTAATTCCAGCCTCTGGGAAGTGTCTTTAATGTGAATGAGCCTAACTGAACAACAAAGGCTTTCTAATGATGTTATCCACCTCTGACTCCTAGCCAAGGTGCATTGTGGTCTGGGATGACTGATATTTATCAATCAGTACCCACCATCCAGTCAGACTGCACAACTCTTGGAGGCCTCTGGTCAAGCAGGTATTAAAGTTCCAAAGGCCCAGGCTAGGCCCACTCAGCCATGAGGCACAGGTGGCTAGGGCTCACAGGACTTTCAGGAGGCCACAAAAATGTTTTCATTTTTCTTAAAATCAGAATTTTCAAAATGAATATAACAACAATTTGAACATACTCAGTGCCACTAAATTGCACACTAAAAAAGGGCTAAAATATTATATATATTTTACCACAATAAAAAAAATGCAGATGCCATTTTGAAAAACTAACTCTATTAAATGATAGAGGCTCATAGCTAAGCCAGGAAATGATGCTGGTAATTTAATATCCATAAACATCTCAGGACAGAAACCAATGGTAGCTATTACACTGAAAATTTTGCTTAAAATAGGGTATACAAGTCCAAAGTACTTCCAAGAAAAAAGTGATTATTATATGCTT